CGTCTCACACATGCGTAGATATGATAGTGGGATTACTATATTGGAAGTCAGTCCGAATTTGGAAAACCTAGGTAGTTACACGTATCATTGAAATGATACAAAAAGCACTCCGAGGACGACCCGACGTTTACGTGTATCATTTATATGATAGACACGGAGGGCAGACCCTAATATTCTCGCCAAAGCGTAATTGGATTTTTGGGAAGAAGTTGCGAAACCTTTTATATTGGCGCGGCTTTTTAAGAGCCAAGTGGTAACTCTTCTATTAGCTATTTAAATGATTGCTGGTACAGTGTACCCGTCTCACACATGCGTAGATATGATAGTGGGGTTACTATATTGGAAGTCAGTCCGACTTTGGAAAACCTAGGTAGTTACACGTATCATTGAAATGATACAAAAAGCACTCCGAGGACGACCCGACGTTTACGTGTATCATTTATATGATAGACACGGAGGGCAGACCCTAATATTCTCGCCAAAGCGTAATTGGAATTTAGGGAAGAAGTTGCGAAACCTTATTGGCGCGGCTTTTTAAGAGCCAAGTGGTAACTCTTCTATTAGCTATTTAAATGATTGCTGGTACAGTGTACCCGTCTCACACATGCGTAGATATGATAGTGGGATTACTATATTGGAAGTCAGTACGAATTTGGAAAACCTAGGTAGTTACACGTATCATTGAAATGATACAAAAAGCACTCCGAGGACGACCCGACGTTTACGTGTATCATTTATATGATAGACACGGAGGGCAGACCTTAATCGCCTTTGCGAGAAAGAGTACTCACCAAAAGGTGAAGGATTTTTTGGAAGAAGTTGTGAAACCGTAAGGGCTTTGCAAAGGTCACCTTTCTAGTTGATGATTATTTTATGCTTATGTTTAAATCATGTGATTTCTGTATCACACGTACTCATGCATGGTGTCCTATCAGCCTATATGGGCTGGGCGACAATATTTATACACTTCTATGCACTCCGAAGAAGCCTGACTTTTACCTGTATGATTGCAATTATATACACGGGAGACGATTTTGCAACGATTGAGATTTTTAAAGTCGGACTGTCTTCATGCTGTCTAACAACAATGTTGGTAAAAATTAGGTAATTTTCGGGGCGCAATGTGATTCAGGTGAAAGTCGTGTTGTCGTCGACGTGTTTGCAACGATACAGGCAAAATGTATGCGGCTATCGAATGATTGCTAGCGTACTCGTTTTTACACATGTGCATACATGTCAGTGGCTCGTTCAGTTGAAGCAAAAGAGCCATATATATAATTCTTGAGCATTCTTTCCCGAAAGGGTGAGTATTGCGCAGTACACTGCCCTTGGCTTGGCAGCGGCCCTTCGCCGGGTAATGACGTCGCTGGACGTGACCCGGAAACAGATGCAACCAGATACCGCGAAACCCCCATAGGGTGCGTATTTTGACGGAAATCCAATGGCGGAAACCTCGCCGAAAAATTGAAATGAGTCAACTTTGACGCTACAAAGCTCGTTTTTGTGTAAAAGTGTGATCTTCAAGTGAACTTCCCGAGGTTCCCTGACTTGTGAGGATTACAACGACATATATTTTAGCCTGGCTTTCCCGATTCTGACTGCGCTATGATAAATTCTGTGAACCATGCTAAGGACTCATTTCGGCGGTTAACACTGAGAAGTCCCACCTGACCCAGGCATTAAAAACTTGTGGCTACCCCCAGTGGGCCATCAACAAAGCGACCTGCCCAAAACCTCCTAACACCAAACCCTCAGCAGGAACAAAGTCCAAAGGGTTGGTGGTCCTGCCATACATCAAGGACTTGTCTGAAGCTCTCAGGAGGATTTTCATTTCCCACGGGATTGCAACTTGTTTCAAACCCACCACTACTTTAAGACACATTCTTGTTGCGCCCAAGGATAAAACCCCCAAAGAGAAGAAGTGTGGTGTCATCTACCACATCCCCTGCCAGGGCAAGAATAACAGGGGGCCCTGCCAGGAAACTTATATTGGTGAAACGGAGAGGTCTCTAAAAGCCAGGTTTCAGGAACATACACGGCCTAGTTCTGCCAGTTCAGAGGTGTCTCAACACATTCACATTGAGTCACCCGGACACCATGTTTCACTAGACACTGTAAGGATTTTTAGACACTGAACAAGACTATTTCTTGAGAGGGGTGAAGGAAGCCATTTACATCAGGGCCCATCACCCTACATTGAACCGCGACGGGGGCCGACATCGTCTACCAGATACCTTTGACCCAGTGTTGACGTCACACTTCAAAGAAGCCACGTGACAAGCTTCACTGGGTCAGTCTACTGAGGAAGACCAGAGTGGTTGAAAGCTCTAGGTGAGAGAATTTTCGTGTTGGATCAAAGTTTAACTTTAAACATGTAACTACCAACACAGATGAACTTTCATGATAATAAAGCCAGTCATCTTAATGTCTAATTATATTTCAACATTGACCACTTCTGATTTAGAATTGTACCATAATGATTAGCATAGTATTTCAAATTTGTGTTTTAGCTCTCTCACCTGGAGATTTTGTAGTTCTCTTGTCTTTTGCACAAGACGTTTCTCCACCAAAGCATGGGATACTGGTGAGTTCACAGCTACAGCTGACCTATTGTGAAACACATGCAAAAATTGTCCAATAATCATAAAGTTCAGATGCCAGTGTATACCTGCTAAGTAAAGCCGTGTTTAAGTGAAATCACCAAAACCGCGATTCGGGTAACTCACATTCCTCACATCTGGTGAAACCGTGTCCGATCACAATTCGCTTGAGCTACATTTATTGCTGTTTGATGATAACACGCAAGGTGGCGTGTTACTAATGTCAGAGGTCAACGACCTGCTTGTTGATGCCCCCCTCCCACACGTCTGTTCCGCATTAGCAGCTCGGTCTGCGCAGCTCCGCTTGCGCAGATGACGTAATGACTATATAATGAGGTATCTTTGCCATGCGCCACCATGCGATCTTAGGGAATACTGCAGCCACAGAACTGACACTACCTCTTTTAACCAATCATATACCGTAATTTTGGTCACGTGGCACCTTCAATTTGGAACAAGACGACAGCCATGTTTTCAGGCCTTAGCGATGGCGTGTTTTCCTGGCGTTTCTGCTGAAATTTAGCATTGATCGATCGGCTCGAAGTGCCGCGTCGGTGTAAATACGTGCAGGAGGGTGTACGGAAGCTATATGCGATTTTTTACAACATAAGGAGTTTTGATGCCGACAAAAATGGCAGAAATGGTTTGTTGAACCCACGACACGTCATCCTGTGGACAGCACTTCAACTTTGACATTTTTTTCCCCACGATGGAAACCGACCAACACAGGTACGTTTTTCCTACCTGCCGCCATATTGCTCAGTTTTCGAAGCACTAGTGGGTACATATTTTCTAGCGCCAAGGCATTATATATCGGCATTGAGGAGATAACTCGGCAGATAAGAGTCTGAAGCATTTGTTTATGTCGTCTAGCACATATTTACATCAAGAATTCCTAGAAAATAATTTGTTTTCCACTCAGAACATAGTCGGTCTGTGGTAGTAGCCTTGTTGACAAAGTTGTTGGGACGTCGGAGAACACACAGCGTTGCTAACAACATTATGATTGGACTACATGTACTTAAATCACTATCACTTGTAGTATTCTTGAAACAACTGCAGTGTTTACATAATTTCTTTCCTTTATAACATACAACATGACTTTTGTTCAAGTCACAATCTAGAAACAACTTGTACATAAAGTTTTATTCATTTCAAATAGAACTCTAAGATTTTGGGGGTTTATGGAAAAAGGAGTCCAGTCCGATTGGCGGAAAAAGCAGTCCAGTCCGATTTTGGTTTGTACGAAATTTTACGAAAGACCATAGGCTACTAATTTTTTCTTGTGTGTGTACTTCTAGTTTCTATGGGTACTTCGAGTTTCTATGAGTACTTTGAGTTTCTATGGGTACTTCGAGTTTCTATGAGTACTTAGAGTTTGTATGGGAACCTAGAGTTTCTATGAGTACTTAGAGTTTGCATGGGAACTTACAGTCTGTAATTTACATATCATCATCATCATCATCATGCCTCCGGATTATTACTTACATATAAGTAATAATAATTAGTCAAAAGATGAAGCGGTCAACTGACGAGATTTACAGGGCCGATCCTGCTTGCAAGTAGCCTGACTAAATCGCTTTACGGTTGCCAGCTGCCCAACATCCAGCCGGCCCCTGCTAAAGCCACGTATGGCAGACTTTGCATTACACCGACAAGCATGTAAGTACCGGAAGTACAATTGTAAGAAAGAATCCCTTAATAATTAACTTTTGTTTATTGTGGATAGGTGACCTGTATGTATAGAAACTACTTTTCGGTGGTCCCAAGAGGTGTAAATCAGTTGTCCGCTATTCCTCACCCGAGGCTGCCTGAATTACGGGTTAAGGCGGCATATAGTGAGTCACATATATGCTAATTCAAGTTCCCATACAAACTCTAAATAGTCATAGAAACTCTAAGTACCCATAGAAGCTCTAAGTACTCATAGAAACTCGAAGTACCCATAGAAACTAGAAGTACAC